TGTGTGTGTGTGTGTGTGTGTGTGTGTGTGTGTGTGTGTGTGTGTGTGTGTCAGAAGTATCAGGGCTGGTGGAGGGAGTGGCACGTCTCTCAGATTCCACCTCTGAGGAACACTCTTCCTACACTTCAGAGTCCTTCGATGACAATGGTAAGACTGAACCAAGACGCTTGTTTACTAGTTTACCACATACTGCTTTGAAACGTTATTTAAAAAAAAAAAAGGGGAAACCAGTCATCCAGAAGACATTGCTTCAAATGTAAAAGTCACATTCAGAAAAAGTTTGTGAAGCACTGTGATAACATTCGCTGAGTGTAAAGACAGTGTACCTTTGCATTTTAAGTGCATGTGTTCATGAAAGAAAATCAATTTTAACGCTTTTCTTCAGTCTTATAGTGTGTATTTTCCCCAGATAAATCAATATTGTGATCTTTACTTGGTTTGATGTTAGGGAGTGGAACGTGTGTGTGGGTGTGTGTTTTCCCTGTCTAATTAGTGTAGCTGCAGAGACCTCATTTATCCCCTACTGTCTTATAGAACACACACCAAATAACACATGCTTACAAATGTGTTTGGAGGACAAATATCTGTTCTTAACACCTGTGCACACACACACTCTCACACCCAGCACACAAAGCCTTACCCTATTCACAAGTGCACTGACATTGTTTCTGTTGTTGTTCTTCTTCTCTCTTTCTGTACTCTGCCTAGCCTCCATAGTGACAGTCATACGTCTAGTCAATGACGCTGTTGATAATATTGAAAGTGAAGGTATGAAAGAATATCTCCTGTTAAATACTGTTTCTCATTTGTGTCTGTTGTCTGATACCAAAGTGTTTGTTTACTGGTGTAGCTCTCAGATATTCTGTAGTGAATGAAGCCATGCTTTGACTGTCCATCCTTTCTATGCTGATGAAAAAACACCCTGCTTTCTGACACTGGATCTCTCTGTGTTGCAATGTTTCCCCTTTGGTTTCCTGAGATGCTTGTGTCAGACTTTCTCTCTGACTTTGGCTTTCTCTCTCCCTCTGTAGTGTCAAGCATGGAAAAAGAACAGCAGCGGAACAGCCCTGGTGAGCGAATCACAAAGCAACAACATCCCATTAACTTTCCATCCCTCAGGCTTCAGCTTTCAAGCTAAGATCCCAAAACGAACCTGTTCTGTTTTCAAAATGTTTCGCTCTCAATACTTACTGTATATCATGCCCTATGGAACATATATTACTATTTATGTTTATCCACATGTATTTAACTACCCAGAGCTTGTATGGAAATTCGGGTTACTAGTTTCTTGCAACAAAAACAATTGTACTTACCGGTATACATTTTTAGGTTAGAAATATAATTTGGGTAGATTTCAAATATCAATACCAGCTTCGACTTCAAAAATGCAGGATCAGAAATACTCTGTACGCTTTCACACACTTTTTCTACCATCGTGAGTTGTTTTACAAGTAGCACAACAATCTTGATCTCCAATCTGTTATATAAAATGTGTATAATATCTCTCATAAATGTAATAATCTAATATTAATAGTGTGACCTTGCTAGTTCATTAGTCCAAGGGACCTATATTAATAGTATTCTAGCTCATTGTAGTTACAGGTAAGGATTTAATTCTTAATAACTACTTAGTCTCCCACTCAAATCTGTGGTGGGTCTGCTTTAAAGCTCAAATCTTAATTTCATCCAAGAGTTATTCATGTCCTGTGGGTTTGACAAAGGATTTAGATTTGACACAGATTCTGCAACACATTTTTAATATAACATGCAGCGTTATATAAAGATTAGGAATGATCCAGTTGCACTTCCTCTAATGTTTTGTCAGTGGCTTGTGCTACAGTCTCAAAAACAACATAATTGGCTTCTTGTTATCAAGTCTGTTTGTTCTCAGCTGAATGTAATTTAGTGGGTCAACAAAGCACCTCACAACTAACCCAAAACAAGACTGTGTTTATGCCTCTGTCTCTGCCAGCCGACTGGAGCACAACAACCCTCATTTCAGACAGCTAGCATTAAAAGATGAATGGAAGTATTCTCCAGAAGGTTGTTTCTAAATTACCCATTTTATTCAGTATGTTTAACACTTGTGCAAAAGCATATTTTCTCCTATTATTTCATGTCCTAAAAAGTGACGAAAACATAAAGTTCAATAAGAAAAACTGCATTAAAAAGACAAAAATACGAATATAACCAGAAGAAAATATGAATTAAGAATAGGTGAACAGGATTAATGTAATAATCCATTACAAATATCATAATTCCTGCTTGCATGGGTGAACATGTGTCTGTTTAATGGAGTGCATGTGTACTTAACGGCCTGTTGTGATTTTGTTGGCATGTGTACCCCGAATCAGTGATGTGCTCAATAGCTCTCTTGCAGCCTCCCTCCCATCATCCAGTTGTGTTCGTCTATTCACTCTGAGTTTCTGCGTTCAGTCGTCTCTATGAAAAGAGCATTCCAACATCAAAGGCTTCCTGTCCCATCATATATTATTTTTGGTTTCTAATATCGGACAACAAGTCCACACCTGCATAGAAAATAAGAAATGTGTGCATCAAAGAGTCCATTGTGGATTGTAAGAATATAATATTATATATTTGTTTAATCTTTTAAGCTTTCATCCAAACGTATTTCAGCTCCTTGGCGTGAAGTGAGAACTCCCACATGTTTTGTGGAGTGTTGGCACAGCAAGTCTGTCAGATTTCTCTTTCTACACGTGTCATGAATTATATACAAGAATCTGGCACTGCTTGTGAAGAGTACTCTCCATCCCCCACACAGGGG